AAAGATGCATTTGTTGAGCATCTGTTCAAACATATGCAATTTTCTAATAAACTCTACAGTACATCTCTTGAGCTAGCAATACTATTAGATCTCTCTTTGGGACCTTTTGACTTCTTATTAGACCACTTATTTGCAACTAAAAGGATTTGGGTTGTTAGAACTCTTCAGCATGATATTAAGGCAGGAAATTGCTCTCTGATAGATGTTGTAAAGGATGTAATAAGATACAGAATCAGCCTTAAGGAACTTAACAGTAGAACTGGGAAACAAGCCATGCACTCCAAGAAAGTGACTACATTAAGAGGTAAATCTCAAGGTATGATAATGTCACAGGAGATGTCACTAGGTACTCGGATTCCAATAAATTGTACAGATCCTGAGTGTAGAGAAGGTCGAAGTCACTGTGGGGAGGATGACGTGTTCAGGAGTGACTCCATGAAGAAGGCAGGACCTCAATTTATCCTTAGCAAAGTATTTCCAAAATTTCTAGAACTCTAATTCTCATTTTGCCATGTTAAGAAAACCATTTACATTATTTCTTCACACTTTACATTGACAGTTTTTTTTTTGTAAATATATTTTTGTTTCAGAATGGACCCATGGGGGGTTTCTCTGTACTATAGTTCTTTGTCTGTTGCCCTTAGGAACTGTGGCTCTCAATGCCAGAGTTTGGTAAAAAGGAAAGGAAATATTTATTTCAAAGTTATACAGATTTAGGTAATGACAGAATGTTGCCATTAAAAACCCCTAAATTTCTTAAAACACACAAAGAGGGAAGTCCATCCTTCCTTCCCTCTTTGCCCTGGCAGGCCAGTCTTAGAACCTGCCAATCAGAAGTACCATCCTCCAGAAGAAAAAGAACAGAAGTCTGCAGCTCACTCCTCCTGGTACCTCTCAGTAATCCATGCTTGGCTACACAGGTTTTCCACAGTCCCCAGCACCATCAGCTGTGTCACCGCCATGATCTCCAGTTCTTAATCCAAAACCTTGTGGCACCTTCTCATGTCCCACTAGCAAGAGTCCTTTCATCCTTTTCCTTCCCTGCAAGGTTTCACATTGTCCACTCTCATTGCCTTGCATTATCCCTTGTCTCTAGTCCTGTATTATCTCTCTCTCCCTCTTGGTGTTCTGCCTTTAGTTTTAAATCCCAACCTGGAACCTCCTCTGTAACACCATTTCCAATTCCTCCCACAGTCCGCTACATGTGCTAGCACTCCTGCAGTTTTCAACATTTCTGGGCTGCCATAGTTAGTCCCGGCAGGCTTGGACCCATGGCGGGGTTGGAACCACCTCCAAGCTCTCATGCAGGCACTATAACCAGGGGGAGCTGCCTCCAGTTACATCACTCCCATCTCCCTTGTTCAAAGCATGACCACAGCTACTTTTAACATATCCATGAAGCTAGCCAGCTGTTACAGATATGTAAAATAACCATTTTTGCATATCATGTATGAAGCTGGCCAACTGTTGATATGCAAAATAACTTTCAGTGGCCCTGCTTCATGTGTTCCATCCCCTAGTGCAGACTTGTGGGGGTGGTATCCTACATTTTTATATTTCCTGGACACCCTGAGTTCTGGACCCCACTTCAAATCCTTCATTTGGGGGCCCCTGGCTATATACCCTGTTACATTCAGCCTTGTCTAAATCAGGAATGTCCAACCATTTGGCATCTCTGGGCCACACTGGAAGATGAAGAGTTATCTTGGGTCACACATTTAATTCACAAACACTAATGAAAACTGATGAGTGAAAAAAAAAGGTTTTAAGTAAATTTATGATTTTTGTCTTGGGCTGCATTCATATCCATTTTGGACTGCATGCAGCCTGTGGGCTGTGGGTTGGACATCCCTGTCTCAATCCAGCAAATCACAGGCTTGATGTGCTTTTGTATTTGCTATATATTTGTTTTTCTAATATACATGAAACAAACAAAGAAAATCCTCATTATATGGAGTTAATTACAGTACGTCCTCACTTAATCATTGATAGGGTCTGTGACTTGAAGAGAAATTATGTATAATTAAACCAGTCTTACCATATGCTAGTTTATAGAAACCAGAGTTAAATAGCTTAAGGCATCTCATCAATGTTGTAATAAAATGACATTGAACAAAACAATGTTATTGACAGAAAGACTACATGAAGGAAATCAATCTACCTAAAAAGAGTACATTTATATTAACTTTAGATGTAAAAGTTTGATTATGATTTTAGCTTGCATATGAAGCTAAAAATTATGAAAATAAGTACTTTATTTTGCAACTGAACAATTTGAATGAACAAAATATTTAATTGAATAGTTCGTATTTTTTGATAAAATAACTTTAGTGGCACAATCATAAATATTAAAATACTTCAAAATAGATCTCTCTTGACCTTTTAATATTCAAATTATTTTATGAGCAATCTATTAGTTATCATCCTTCTGAGTTTTATCTTGTTCAATTAGCCAATTCTTTTACATCCTTGTTACTGGATTTTCATGGTTATCTGAGCAGTTGTCAAAATTTTTTTTTAATCTCATGAAATTCTGCTTCTTTTGCTCAGATTTGTAACTTGGCTTTCCAATAGATTTATACCGATTTTGCATTATATTGGACAAATTGAAAGCATCATTGATTTGATTAGTGAGGGTATTGAAAAGTAGAAGGATTATTTAAGTCAGTTCTCAATTCAACAGTGAATATTTTGGTGTTAGGATGGCATGTATTTTCCTAGCATTCTTTAACTCTAGAACAGCCTGCTCAAATTTTTATATTGGAGTAACACTTGAAATAATTCCCAAGTCTCAGGGAATCTCTGGATAAAAATTATATCTAAAGCTTATAGTATGTCAGTTTGATAATTTAGTTGTAGATATTGAAATCCAATAATAATTGCCAGTTATCTTTCAAACATAGTGATTTTTTTTGAGGATCTGTTTAGTTGGACCAACTTCTTAGCCTATCCTTTTGTAGGTCCCCTCTCTCCACAAAGGATACCAGCCATAATCTAGGTCAGTAGTATAGATAAAAGAAACTTCAGGTTTTCCTTTTTAAAAGTCTTACTTAATCTTTTTGATGCCTTACCCAAGTAGGGATAAAAGTCTTACTACACATTTCCATTATACAAATGCTATTGAAGTATAGTATATGATATGTGGTAAGCTTAAAGGTAGGTTTTCCCCTCCTATTTAAAACAAAAAGAGACTCTTTAGACAATCTTTCTTGAAAAGAAAACAAAAACAAGTAGTTAACTTTGTTTCTTAAAATGAATCCTTTTTCTTCCTTTTTATGAATTTATATATTTATAAGGCAAACATAGTATGTTTTGTTTAGTCACTGACTTAAGCTAAAATGAGATGTAAAAATGTTAGTTTATTTAAAGAAAGTCATGAATTTAATTAATGTTGTTTTCAATATGAAAATAAATTAACAATGTTGAATAACAAAGTTACTAAAACTGTATGGCAAAGCAATATGAATAAAATTGCCTAAGACAACATTTTAACAAACTATAGAAATGATCCCTGAAAGTATAGTCTTCCAAGACAACATTTTATATAAAAGTTTGAAAGAAATCATTTTTTACTGAGTGGCATGGTCAGGCTCACATAGATAATTATAAAATTAATATACAATTGTTGATTTCATGATGACTTTACTAGACTTATAAATGAATTTTAATTTTAATTGTTATTTTGAAACTAAAAATAGTTTATTTATAGAGTTCATGTTCCTGATTCTTTTTTAAAAATACTTTCTCATACAAATATGATGAAAATGGCAGCCCCTCTATACCCCACTTTAAAAACAGATAATGGACTCAACCAAATGATCATGGTCCCACTTTATAGGACCAAAATCCCTATAACAATTACTAATGGGACACTTCGGTCACTCACTCTGCATCATCTTTTGCAGAGCATCCTAGAGACATCTTGTGGATCTACCCTCTAGTGTCCCACAGAACTCTGTTGGAGAAATCCTGCTCTAAGGACTTGAATAATTGTGAACCTCTGTGCAATTATTAACCTACATTTTTTCCATCTGAATACCACTTAAATTCATGTCACTCATACCTTGGGAAATACTGCCTAAAGGACAAGTAAGATCTGGATATGTTTAAAAGAGGAAAGAGTGCATACTAAATGAGGAGGATAATTAGAGCAAAGGCCAGTGGGGTAGGGGATTCTCTATTAAGTAGAATTGGCTGGCACCAGCAAAGAGCTCATTGACACCATGGAGGCCTGAATGGAAGAAAATAGTCTTGAATATCCACTAAGGTTTTGAGGGGTGAGTGAAACTGATGAAATTGATTGAAGGAAGATGAATCTGGCAGGATGGGAGGAATCTAGATATACACATGCAAGTACAGATATTGTGGCAATTTATGCAAGTGGAAACAAGAGCCAGAACTGGAATGGTGTTAGCAGAAATGAAGAAATGGGATGCGTATGGGACACACAGTGAGTGGAGTCGATAGTATTGGGATCAGCCTGACAATGAGCTTATCTCTACTAATGGTTATGGGACTTCCATTCTTAGAGATACTAAAAATGTGGAATTGGGTGATTTTTTTTAAGTGCTGCTAGGCTGGAATATTTTCCAAGACTCAGCAGCCAGCCCTTTCCTGGTCTTGTCCTCTGACACCCATCCTATCATTTTATAAAGGAATATAGACCTAACAGTGTCAGATCTTTTGAAAAGCTAGAAATCTAGCTACTTTATGATATCTTTCCATTTTAAGTGTTAGCCACTCAGTGTTTGCTTATCAAATAAAACATACTGTGGACTAGAATTGCTGCTGATTTGCAGCCTCTGTCTGCAGTTGTGTGTGTTGCTGTCCACAATCACCTTGAAATGTACCCTGAACCAAAAGGTAATCGCTGCTTTGAGAAACCCCTCTGTGTAATTCCTATTGGGAAACTCATAGAAAGGCTTTTTGTAGTAGCTAATATTTTCCTTTTGTTAGAATGTTGATTTGAAAGTTACAATCCTTTCTCTGCTTCTTCCCAGCCAGGTCTCTAGACAAACTTTACAACTTTGCTGATTGCTCTGGACTCCACCTGATATTTGCTCTAAATGCACTGCGTCGCAATCCCAATAACTCCTGGAACAGTTCTAGTGCCTTGAGTCTGTTGAAGTACAGTGCCAGCAAAAAGTACAACATTTCTTGGGAACTGGGTAATGGTAAGTAAGATGTTACTTCCTCTAATTGACAAGATTAAGGGACAAGTGCTAGTGTGGGATATAGTCACAATCAGTCCATCTCTAGAGTACTAGCTCAGAAAGCACCTGGGGTGTTTGGCCACTGAGTTGATTTTTCAAATAGTAAAAAATCAAATAGTGAAGAGCAGTAGATTTAGTGAATTTACACCATTTGCATCTATAGTTATAGTTATCTCTAGTTACCTAATTCCCAATATGAGGAAAGTGTTACATGTGATTTGTAACTAACAAACTGATGCTAAACCAAATACACCCAGTCTGCACAGCCAGTGCTGCATTTTACAGTGTGTGGTACATTGGTCCTACAAGATGACGCTTATAATAATTCAAAAGAGCTTGGACACATATGTTTGGGGATTTTGCTACCATATGCACCTCTTGGAGGTTCACAATTCACATTAGCCTATAAAAGGCTATGAGAAGTCCTGCTGCAGTGAAACTGTATAACATGTTTAACCCAGCATTTCTTAAGCCATTTAACTAGGATTTCTCTCAGGGCTGCGCAGCCTGTACAGCCGCACAGTCCCATGCTGAGAAGAGACCCTTGCTTGGTTTGACACTGTGCCCTTGCTGTCTTGAAATTCTTAATTTTTAAATAAAGATACCCACATTTTTCACAGGACTCAGTCTTATTTAGTCACTGAAGTGTGCGTGTGTGTGACTTATCATCCCATGCAATAATATTCCATGGAACACACTTCAGAGAAATATTTCCTAAATTCCACTCTTCTTTCTGATGATATATATGTATGTGTGAGATACAGATGATATTCTGTAGATTCCATGACTCTAATATTATCAAGGCAATTAATATGGGTTTTAGCTAAAATTATGCGTAGTATCAATTTGAAAATGTTCTGATTCTCTAATTAAAAGACATTTTGATAAACCTTAGACTGAGACAATTGAGTTGAAAAAACCAAGACTTCTCTTAAAATTACTGTTACAAACTGATATCAGCACTTTTGTCCATGGCCTTACGTATCCATAGCTACCCTGTATGTGTCTGGAGTGTACACACATACATATGCACGTGCGAATTTACTGTACACCAGAAGTTGAAGTCCTCATAATAAGATAAGAAGGAATGAGGGCTTTATAAGAATGTGCCCTGTTTTTTTATCTGTCGCCATTAACTGGAGTGTAGCTCTTGTACTCTTCTTTTCTCTCTTCCTTCACTGGAGTAGGAGAAATTTGGGGAGACTTAGGGGCCAGATGGAGACCCACTGAACTGAACTGAATGAAGATGCTTTTGCAGTTGGGTGACTGGGGTAGCTAGAGGCTTCTCATCTTCCCACCCTGCCTGGGTATCTGTCATACATTCTGTGACAAAAGCAAGAGTGATGTGATCAGCTTTAACTAAGAAAATATTATGTAGTAGGCAAAATCCTTTACTGTCTCTCCCCTTCCCATATTCTATTTCATACTCCTTGACATCTTTTGGTATTTTATGATGTCTACTCATGACTACTCACCTAACCTTGCCCTGCTGCAATATCATACTCCACACAGCTTAGCTCTCTTCCCAAGAGCAAACTTTCTTTAAACAGTGCATTTCCCAAACAGCTCATTACAATGGTCATGAAGAACCAATTAGAAATAATACTTAAAATGGGTGAGTATATGACAGTAAGGAGTGGTGAGCTGTAGAATACATGCTCTGCTTAAATAAAGCTTTTCTTGTTGTCTTTTAAAAATATTGTGCTACCGAAATAAAATGGGTTTCTAAAATATCTTAGCTAGTTGTAGATAAACCCAAAGCAGTGAAAACTTACTTACAAGTGATTGATGGCCATAATCCCTTTAGGGTTTTGGGGAGCTTGCTAAAATAAATTAGCATTAACCCTTTGGTTGGAATAACTGCTGTGATTTGCTGTGATTTGGTAAGGGTGGGTAGGTAAAGTGAGTATATGCATCTTTCTGCATATACTCATCTATTCCAGACAACTGAGGGCCTCCCTTTCCATCCACCTTCTTCCCCAGAATTATATTACTCTGCAGCTAATTACATTTTTTAATGTTATTTAGTCACTTCAGCCACACAATTAATGATTCCCACCATCACCTTTTTAAATGCCTCTTAAGCATTCAACAAAAACAAAGAATCATTTATAAGAAGGAAAAACACAAAGAAAGATAAGAAAAGAAATAAGTATATAGATAAGAATGGAGAATAAGCAAATCTATGAGTTTTAAAATTCAATAAAGTAGAAAATTTCTGGTAATCTTTTTATGAACATTTCTATCTAGGTAGACATAGATGGTTTTGAGTCTCTAACCAAGACTAGACTTGGTCCTCCCCCAACTCCCTTTCCTTTTATTTCAAAAACTGAGTTTCTGTATTTTTGATATGACTAATAAATAGTCTGCCACACTCAATATAACTTTTAGAGTCTGAGGAAGATTTATTTTACTGCTTCTTCTAATTCATTTTATTTTTTAATCTTTATTATATTTTGCCATTACTATTTAGTCCCTTTATACTCCCTACCCCAGCAATTACCAAAACTACTGATAGTTTTTCATGTGCTAGAATTATATCTCTTGAGCTATCTTATGTATTCTGCTCACAACTGTCATGTTTTACATTTAGACTTCTGTCTCAAAAATTATCTGCATTGTCATCCTTCTGGCCTAGACTTGTCTCTCGAAACTTTAAGCTGTTTTCTTCTTTGTAACCTTATCTCTTTTGGATAGAGGTAATAGTTTAACCATCATGCCCAAATTAGTGAAGGACAATAAAACTGGCCAGTCCTTTTATCACTCATCCTTTCATATACCCTCATCCTGTTAACAAGTATTTTATCTTGAGAGCAAATCTAGCACGGAAAAAGCTAAAGTAGACATTTCTTTAGTTATTTCTCTGAAAAATAGCAAGACTTCAAGTGGCTAGCTTACTGGTTTTCCCTTTTTTGAAAAATCAGTGTGTAGTGTACACTGTAGACCATAAGAGCAAGATATCCCTGTAGCAGGAGGTAAAAATTACAAAAGTTTAGCTGTCAAAATCTGTGAAAGAATAACTTTTCAATACAAAATTTTTAACTACATTCTGAAGATATAAAAGTGTTTCCTTAAGAGTCATTAATTGTAAATTTTGTATTTGCTTAATGCTGGGTGAGTATTATAATTATTTGTATTTCTATTAATCATTGAAAATCAAAATTAAGAAGGAAATGGGGGAATTTGGAAGGTAGTAATCAAACACTGGAAGTACGCTTTGGTCCAGCATTGCTCCTGGGACATGGTGTTTGTTGTTTAGGTTATTCTTAACAAAAATCCTCTGAAAATAATGCAGCATCTCTCACTGAGCTCTACATTATGCATTGCTCCCCAAATTAAGTGCATTCTCTAAGTAAATCTGCCCACTCCTGTGAGCAAATAAAAGCTACTATAATTACTAAGTATCATATATTCATCTGACCTGTACACTTACCAATTATTCTTTCATGATTTTAGTTATATGATTCAGTTCCCTGGAATCTGATGTCTACTGAATGAGTTCATAAAATCAAATTTCTGATCTTACAAATTTTAACTCCTTAGAGATAATGATTCTGGAATTCCAGCTTTATTCGGTCATTTATTTACTCAGTAATTATTAAGCTTTTATTCTGTGATTATGTGGATTAATATATTATGTACTTATGTGTAGCCATTTATACATTTCAGTTGTATATATTTGTGTATATATAACACTTACAACCTTGGGAAGGCCAAACATAGGATTGAGCCACTGTCTTCAAACATGTTGCCAATTGTTTATGAGACTAAGTCATAGCCTAGAAGCTTTAGAGAACTATATCTTCAGAGGATAGAGTTTTGATGGTTAGGGAAGGAAGGGAGCAGGAAAGAGGAGAGGGGATGATGAAAAGCTGTATGTGTTAATAGTTTCTTTACCTGCTTACTATTCTCCTTTTCTTCTCTTTGTCCTCATCTCCCCTTCATCACCTTCACCTTATCAATTCTTTCTCTGCATATACCCATCCATATATATTCTTTCTTTCTTTTTCATGCTATTTATTCACTCCTGTGTTTAATATGTGTGTACTGTTGAGCACCTGCTATGCAAAATATGCCAAGTGCTGGAGTAGGAATTATAGGACATCCTTGAAGTCCTTCTCTGCCCACTGTGGTATCTTTTGATAAAGCAGATTGTGGTGGAGAGTAGATATACACAACAAAGAATTCATATGCTGTAGGAGCTTATTATCTAATGGTAAAGGCAGGATAAAGTTAAAACTATTGAGTAGTTAAACCCTCATATATTCAAATTCAAAGAAGTCTTTAGAGTTAGAAAGGGGTATAGAATAAATCAGAGAAGTTTTACACCAACAAATAATGTAGGGTAAAAAATAAATAATGCACAAAAGTGTTGATAAATTCATAGCTTACATTTGTAAGCACTTACTGTGTTGTTTAATTATTAAGGAATGTAGTGAACTTTCAATTGTATCAGTGCTTTATTTCTGTTCATTGTCATAGTGGAGAATCATGTTATCTCATCAACATGGTTTAGTGTTACAGTTTACAGTGTTTAACTGCTTGTTACAGTTGGATAGTTGGAGAAAGAATTTATGCAATAGCGGTAACATGTGTGGATGTGGGGTGAATCATTGATGGGACCAAGATCATTTTTTTTTGTTATCACTGGTATGATCTACTTTGTGGTACAGCTGACTCTTTAAGAAACTAAATAATTATCACCTTCTACTCATTTCTTAAATATTTAGTTTTGTTTAGGTCAGGATACTACAAAAAAGAACAATCTGACTGACATGGTCCTATCTATCTCTTCTTGCCTACTGTTCTTAAATACTTTAAATCCCTTCTGTAACTCATGAAAGCTAAAGTGGAGTCTGTTGTTCTGACTCGTTGATACACAAGTGACTTCCCTGTTCATATTAGGTGAACATGGGAGAGAAAATAACCTGCTCTGGTCATTTTTTGGCTATGGGTATGGG